TGGCGCCACAGCTGTTTTCACCAATTCTGCTGAAACTTTGTCATTTGGGGTCCTGATTAACGAAAACGACACCCGTTTAGGCGCTGGCGCCATTTTGGCGCCACGGCTGTTTCCACCAAATCCGCTGAAAACGTGTGTATAGGGGTTATTTGGGGTCCTGATCACGAATATAACATCCAGTCTTGACGCCGGCGCCATGTGGTGTCACAAACAACACTTCACAGTCAGAGCGTACTCTTAGGCACCTTTCTCAGAGCGCCGACTGTCAGACCGTGGAAAAGGTCATCGAATCGGAGACTTTCCCACGACAGGAAGGAGCCAGAAGCATGTTTCACGTTTTCGACAACGGAGAATAACGATGGCTCTTGCTACTCTTTAGCGACACAATCGTCAATGAGAGCTACTGGGCTTAGCCTTGAAGGACGTGTACGAGACGCTCAAGTTGAATAATCTGCACTTACTGGTTGCGATCCATGGGGTTGATGTCTGTGCCACTATGCCCTTCATGTCAACGATCCATGAGCCTGATCAACGACGAACGGCACAACGGCTGGATCCTCCCTTTCCTAAGAAAGTCTTCCACGGTCTGGCTCCTTCCTGTCGGGAAAGTCTCCGATTCGATGACCTTTTCCACGGTCTGACAGTCGGCGCTCTGAGAAAGGTGCCTAAGAGTACGCTCTGACTGTGAAGTGTTGTTTGTGACACCACATGGCGCCGGCGTCAAGACTGGATGTTATATTCGTGATCAGGACCCCAAATAACCCCTATACACACGTTTTCAGCGGATTTGGTGGAAACAGCCGTGGCGCCAAATTGGCGCCAAATGACACCAGCATCAAAAATGAATGTCATATTCGTAATCAGGGCATCGAATTACCCCAATAGACAAAGTTTCGACGAAAAATGAAACTTTGAGATTTTGGGGCAGTAATCGTGGGATAGTGCCCAATCCGGCAATAGGGGAAGGCTGAAAACGGTGAAAAACCAAAGTTTCAACTGGGGGAAGTAATGCATATCATTCGAATAACTGGGGTCAACAAAACCACAAAGTTTTGTTCACAGCCCATATTCTTGTGAAACATTCGCAACGCGAACTGCGGCGTTAAAAAGCAAAGTTTCAAACAAAACAAAGTAATGCATATCATTCGATAGCATTTTTCACGGGAAGCTAACGGGGCACATTTCAGGTCTGCGAGTTCATCTGGAAATGCAAAAAATCTGAACTTTCCACAAGGGCATGACGAGGAGGCATGTTTGGGGCCACACCACGGAAGGAACGCTCACTTGCGACCGAGTTTTCCACATAATTCCTACAGACAAGTGACCATAGTCTACGACAGTGAAGGAAATTCTTCGCTTCCTTACAGCTTTCTACAAAACATTCCTCTAAAAATGGGACTTGTCACGTAATAGGGGGCAAAGGCATGACAAGGGGTGATGTTTGGGGTCACACCACGGAAAGAAACGCTCACCTGCGACCAAGGTTTCCATATAATCCTTACAGACAAGTGACCGTAGTCTACGACAGTGAAGGAAATTGTTCGCTATCTTCACAGCTTTCTGCAAAACATCTCTGAAAATGGAAAATGTCACATAATAGGCCCACTATGCCTGCTGAGAACTGTTCAAAGATTCCACTTGATATACAGAGGATGGGATATTGAGAGCAGAGGGAACACGTAAAGCCAGTAAGCGCTTAAAAACGAAATGAAGATCTAAGAATTCGGAAAATAACATTCATCTAATCTCACAATGTAGTGGATGAGATTGAGTACGTGGCGCATTCTGGGGTAAGTTTTGAGGCCCTTCTCTGTGTGTAGCGGTCAGCCCGCATAAGCGGGATTATATACACATCACATGCGAGCAACTTTTTGAGATGAAAATCGAGTGCATGGCGCAATCCTATATGGAGCTTTTCCAAAGTATCAAAGCATTCTTATAGTGTCCGACGAGCTGAATTCAAAGATATCTTCGGATTCTCGAAAGCTCAATTTTGAACCGAGTTATAACGAATTCACGAAATTAACGAGGATTCGCGTTATTCGCGTGAATTTTCGATTTCAAACGGGAGTACTGTACTATGGGTATGGGGAAGTTTGAGGGGACTGCCCTAGGTACTTGCGGACCTGAATATAAGCTTACAATGTATTGGAAGATGTGTAATATCTCTTTTATTGACCCTTTCGAAGGCGTGGTACGTACCCCAATGCTTGTAACCACTTTTATAACCCCTATCAAAAGAGCCCCTATATTTTAAAGAGGTATGGCCCTCGTGTTTAAGGAGTTGTGTGTTAGAATTTGTTACTAGATTAGACGAAATGAAGAAAAAAGAAAGAATAGGAATGAATTTGTTTAAAATAGTATGTGTGGTGATTGTTTGAATATGCAAGTTGAAAATAACTTTTATAAGTTGATTTTTAAATTAGTTTTTGAATTCAGTTTAGAAAAGTATTTATTAAAGAGATTTTTTAAAGAGATTTTTTAGATGAGACGAAATGAAGAAAAAAGAAAGAATAGAAATGAATTTGTTTAAAATAGTATGTGTGGTGATTGTTTGAATATGCAAGTTGAAAATAACTTTTATAAGTTGATTTTCTTGAAAAGTTAGTTTTTGAATTCAGTTTAGAAAAGTATTTATTAAAGCGATTTCTTGAATTTCAATGAAAGTAGGGGAGTTATTATTACATATTGATCAATTTTAAGATAAACATTTAACACTTTTTGTGTTATTAGCACCCATTTCATGTTAGATGTTTGGTTAGATTTTATAAGCTTCAAACAATCCTGTTTTGTTTAGACTATTCAATGGAATAGACGTAAATGCATACACAGAGAGGATATACAAGCGTGTTCTTATAAGCTGGGTGAGGATAACTGGCTTAGTTAACAAGGACAAGTGGAAGTACGACAGACTACTTGCGTATTTTGCTAATTCAATTTTAGGGTAAATTATCAGTCTTCTTATAACTTAGTGTATTTTAATTTTATTCAATTATACTAGAAAATTTTCAGTTATTCTTGTGATGGCAAATCGGCAGCTTTCTCTTGGCCTACATCCGCTGGTTTTGATAAACAAGGCAACCAAGCTATTCGAGTTTGTTTCATATATGATTCTTTACTTTGTATTATATTGATAAGATATTTTTCAGGCTCAAGTATCCTATGACTTTTGGCGATACTTCATGAGTGAAGGTCGTCACCGTCTTTCTGAATACAATAAGAATAACGGTACCAGTATTTGTATGCTGAAAGAATTAACGATGAGGGCCAGTGATGAAAATAATTTGGGGTAGGTTTCTGAAATCAATTTCAATATGGATTAATAATTTGTTTGATTTTATTTCAGCCTTTTAATAAGGAAGAAACTGACCTCTATTTATAACAGTAATTCAGTCAAAGTACCGGATATGCGTGTACGAAAAGGGTTCTTATCAATTGGAAAAAATCTGGTAAGAGGAATTTTGCTATTTTTGGTAGAACATTTTATCGAATAGAATATTATAGACGATCAGATCTTCTCTCGCCTTTGTGAAGTTTGGATTAACTCTCCCGGAATGGAAAGGAGTGCCAATAGAGGAGTTACTTGATGATGAAGAAAAGGCTGATTTGAAAGTACGTTGAATATTTTTTTTTCAAAGTCCAGGTTTTAAGGCATCCGTGAAGTCGAGCTTCAGCTTGGCGATCGTCTGGTCTCGGATTGCGTCGTAGTCGAGCGTCTGCACCTTCTGGATATTGAATCTCTTCAGAACTGAGTTGAAATCCTGAATTTGTTCGATCCATGTGATGCCGAGAAGGTCGTTGTCGTCGGAGACGTAGCAGACGCCTTGTCCAGGATGAGCCTTTCCTTGGTTGTCCACTACCACGAAAACAGCGTCGAATTTTCCGTGAATCGGTAGTGGTAGACCGTTGGCTCCTTTGAAGACGTCGGAAGTCTTCTGTAGACGCGGGCTTCCGAGTTGCATCCAGGTTGGGCGAGAAATGATGGTGACGTCGGCGCCGGTGTCCAACTGGAGGCGAGTGGGATGTCCATTGATGTGAACTTCCAGGTACTTTTGGACATCTCCAGAGCGGCCGATGGCTCGTTGGTACCACGTGCGCGGTGATGACTGCTTGATGCGACGTCGTGGCGCAGTCCTTGGACACCCAAGCGGCACTGGTAGCGTATCGGTTTTGTGG